GCTTAATCAGGTTAACATCACAGAAAATGTAATATTTCTGCCTAAATAGTATTATGTACTTAAAAAGCTCACTCAGCCCCCTCTCAATTCCCCTCCCTGCCACCAACCAAGATGAATCTCAAAGCTTTACAATCTATTGACTATTCAAAGACAAACGGGTATGTAGGTGGATCAAGTGGAAGTAAATTCAGTATTATGGAACATTTTCTCTTTTTATTTTTTTAACCTGAGGTTTCAATTAATTTCAGAGTTCCTCGCATGTTTAATCCCCTGCTCAAATCCTTCCAATAGGTTCCTATCTTAAAAGAAAAGGGAAGTCATTCCAAGGTCTTCAAGGCCCTAAGTAACCTGGCCTTGACCTCTCTCCCTGCTACACATAAATCCTGCCACCCCTCAGTAGTCTGAAATGGAGATCAATGCCAAATTAAGAAATCAGAGAGCTACAATTCTGTCTGTCTTGGACAAACAGCTCCAAGTGATAGTAATTAGGTCTTAACATGAGAAATATTAGCAAATTATTTGTACAACCATTAAAAAATTATAAATAGAGTGGAAAGATTACATCAAGTATAGATTTGTTAAAACTCATCACCTTTGTCCAAAATTATGATTGAATGAAAAGTCGATGCTTTTCAAAAGCTAAGAGGTCCTATGAGTATATTACTTGAGACGGAAATATTTCCAAATTTAATTCAAATTGGCATGAATAAAAATAACACTATGTCAACCTAAATGTACAAGGATCCAGGGAAGGAAAGGTACTATGACATACAACATCTACACTTCAGTTCATATGGGAAATCTGAACTTCATTGTCAAGATAATCCACTTAACTGAATCTTAATTTGAAAATATCATTTGAGGAAAGAGCATTCCCATTTATCTGCTTCCTAACGATATTAAAATGTGGTGACAGACAGACTAAAATTATTATTCTATCAGTATAAGACTTAATTATTAATATCAGTCTACATCTATGAACAATCTATAATTTAACCTCTTAAAATTTCATGGGCAACACAATGTCTTTATTCAAACAGAGCACCTCTTGGGTCTACTGTTCATTTGCTGGATACAATGTCTGCTTTTAAGCTGATAGAATAAACACATTTATAACCTGTTAGAGGCCCAATGCACAAATAGGTACATGGGTGGGATCTGGCTGGCCAATCCAGGAGGGGCTGTCTGGAGGGACAGACCACAGGAGTTTGGGGCAGCCTACTGGGGCCCTGATTGGGCTGGTTGGCTGCTGCAATGCACCTCATAGCGATTGGTCATTCTGGTCATTACAGTTGCTCTATCATTCTGGTCGCTTGGCTTTTAGATAGATAGATAGATAGATAGATAGATAGATAGATACAGAGATAAAGATATATAGCTATAGATACATTTTTAATATTCACCTGGATTCAACATCTAGCCATCATCAAATATTACTCTGAATTTTCTTAGAGGAAATTTGAAAATAGTTATCTGTCTAAATACATACAACTCTTTCTGCTTTATCATTTTCACACTGATCTATTTTTTCTTTTAAATGATGCCATTCATTGATTAATTCCTTGCTTGTTTCATTCAGCATAAGCCTTTGCTTTTCACTTTCAGCTTTCAATATTTTTATGACATCCTCAAACTGATCTTGAATTTTAATGACTCTTCCCTTTCCTGTTAGCTTGGTTGTGAGCATGATCCACTTGCTTTTGAAACAACATATTTTCACACTGTAGGTGGAATAGCCCCTCCTATAAGGATTCCTGCTTTCCAATTTCGTTTTCCTTGGTTCTGATTTTTTACTTAATCTATTTCTAGTGTTAGCTTGGCAGTTTCATCCTTCAACATGCAATTTGCACACAACAGACTTTTTTCTTATTCATAACTATCAGAAACCTAAGTAAAGCAAAGTAGACTTTTAGCTAACAAATTGAAATGATATATTAAGATAGCCTCTGAAATTAAAGAATAACCTTTATGCTAACAATAAAAACATTACAATGTGGATACACCTCAGGAAAAAATAGAAATGGATCCAATCTTATCACTTTATACAAGCATAAATTCTCCAAAGTTCATAAATTTAATATAACTTTATGATTTTTTTAAGTAAAAAATAAACCACCATGTAAAGAGTCTCAGAATTCGGAAGGAATTTTTTTTCTGAATCACCACAAACCCAGAATGCATTAAGTAAAAGATTAGTAACTCTAACTACACTTAAAAATTGAGATTACAGTGTGAACATAGAGCTACCCGACTGTAAGAGTATTAACCCTGCATATATTAGGATAGACTGAATTTTCTAAAATTATTTTTTCCAAGATTACCACATAGATATTCTATTTGCCTAATACTTTCAGTACTAAAACCTACCTCTTCTAATAACTGATAATCTAGGCATTGTCCTAAACTCTTCTACATCCAACAATGACCTTATTTAGTCATCATAATCTGGAATGGAGGAGTTAAAAAGATAAGCAAGTTTAATATTTTCCCAAGGTCTCCAGACTTCACAATTGATGCTCTTGCCCCAATACACAGTTCTTCTCTAGTGTGAATATAGAAACACAAAAGATGCCTTATATTTAAAAAAAGTAATGGTGAAAAAGATAAAATTTATAGAGCTCTTCTTACAAAATCATGAGATTATTTTGCTGGGATAATTTTTATTTCTTGTTCATGATGTTCAGAGCAACTAATGTGAAATGGATAGAAATGTATTTAATTACTTTACTAGAAATAAAATACCAATAAACTGTCACTAAGTGTACATTACCCTATATCATTCTATTCAAAATCTCTTGTATTAAAATGAAATACTACTAAAAACAAATTTTTACTTTTCTCAAAGGTAGAATGGCATCTAAAATATGACCCCTGAACCAGCTATTCTTTTCCTCCTTACCATCAGTGGAAATGAAAACTACCATCTCTTTTAATATATCATATTGGATTTTACATATCTACACACCCACATATACTCACACACATTTGTAAATGACTAAATAAACTACCTCATATTTCACTTTCTTATGAGCTCTTTCTATCTCTGGTTTGCAAAGGTGTTTGGTCAGAATTCCATCTTGTGATATACTGGCATTCTGTTCTTGAGCAAGTTGCCTCTGAGTGTAATTTCGTTCTTCAACAACCCAGAGACACATTTGTTTAGTTTTTTAACTCATACCTTTTAACAAAAAGTTCAAAGCTTAAGAACAGCTCCTTTAAAAACTGTTAAAAATAAGTAGTCTTTTTAAGCATAAGGATATTTCATCTTCATAAAAAAACTCAAAATTTTAACTTAAGTGATAGCTAAATATGTCATAGAGCAAAAATACAGTATTGTGAAATAATATTTGTTTATGAACATTCGAGTAATTCTATCACTGTGTCAAAGCAATTTAGCCTGTATGTTAACATTTTTAAAAGCCCAAATTAACACTGATGTGAATGGTTAAACTCAACTTATTGTCCCTTTCTTCATTTAGAAAACATATACAGAGCATCTACTATACGCCATGGATAGTAATAAATTAATAATTTTAGTCATAAATGTCACAGTTCATTTTTTGAATGAGATAACATCTTGGGCTTTTTAAAAATGTCATAATGTACATTAAATCAAAGGGATACAATTATTGACAAAATACTGTTAGATATAAGAAATTTTTACCAAAGATAAATTTACCTCATTTCTTCTTACAGTCTCCAATGCTATCACTTGTGTTTTAATGGTGTTTGCAACTTTGGGGTTCATTTCAACTGCTTTAATAGACTGCCCTTTTTTTCCTAACTGCACCATATTCTTTTCATATAACAGATCAGCTTTTTGTCTCTTCTCTTTTTCTTCTTTAAAGTTAAATCTGCAGTTAAACACAACCGAAGCTCTGATCAACATAAAATAGACTGTTATATTCATATGATATCTTATGTAAACATCATGATAACCACAAAACAAAAACCTCCAGCAGATTCATAAAAAGTAAAGAACAGAAATCAAACCACACTACTGAAAATCTTTAATTCTGAAAAGAAGTCAACAAGAGAGGAAGAATCTAACAAAGGAAATACAAAACAGGAATAAAACAACAAGTTAGCATTAGTAAGATGTTAACAGTCAATAATTTATTTGTAAATGGATTGAATTCTCCAATCAAAAATCATAAAATGACTTGGGGTGGTGAGCACACAATATGGTGGACAGATGATGTGTTATAGAATTGTGCTCCTGAAACCTGTATACTTTCGTTACCCAGAGTTATCTCAATAAATTCAATAAAAGGGAAAAAAAAGGCATAGAATGTTTTGATGGATTAAATAATAAGACCCAACTATATGCTGCCTACAAGAGACTCAATTCATTGACTTTCTTAAATTTCAAAAAAAAAAAATCCTCACCAGAGGATATGCTCATTGATTTGAGAGAGAGGGGAATGGAGAGACAGACAGACAGACAAACATCGCTGTGAGAGAGAACATCATTATGTACCCAGGACAGAGATGGAACCCACAATCTAGGTATATGCCTTGATCTGGAATCAAACTTACAACTTTTTGGTATAAGGGATGGTGCTCCAACCATAGAAGCCATATGGGCCGGAGCTCAAGTCATGCTTAAAGACACTTCAAGTCTCAACCTTTAGAGATGGAATATATATTCCTTGCAAGTGCAAACCAAAAAAGAACATTGTAGCTATCCTTATATCAGACAAAACAGAATTCAAGCCACAAACTGTAACAAGACACAAGGAAGGCATTTATATAATGACTATGGGCCTAGAGCATGAAATCGTGTACCTTGAAAGGAACTGTGGGCTGCGAGGCTGCGGTAGGCATAGGTGCTGGTCTCAGCCCATCCTCTGCACCCCCGCCTGACCCCTATATCACCATGGCCCCCGGTCCCCTGTCTGCTGGCAGCCCTGCTCCCACTGCCTCCTCCACTTCCACACACTGACAGCATCACCAATGCCAGAAGCAGGTGCCAGCACCGGGAGGGACTATGGTAGGAGGGAGCAAAGAATTTTCAGTAACCACCAGAGGTTCTCCCCACTAACAGCGACCAGCGCCCTGCCTTGTTCTGGCACCCCCACTCACCTGCTCCACCATCCCACTGCAGCAATGCCCATCATGTTCCACACATGGCCTCTGGTAGTCAGCACATGTCATAGTGACTGGTTGCTCAGTTGTTCCAGTTGTTCCACCGTTCGGTCTATTTGCATATTAGCCTTTTATTATATAGGACTAGTGGCCCGGTGCATGGAATTCGTGCACAGAGGGGAAAGTTCCCTCAGCCCAACCTGCACCCTCTCCAATTGGGGACCCCTTGGGGATCCCTGTGGGATCGGGCCTAAACCAGCAATTGGATATCCCTCTCACAATCTGGGACAGCTGGCTCCTAACCGCTCAACTGCCTGCCTGCCTGATCGCCCCTAACTACCTTTGCCTGCCTTCCTGATTGCCCCTAATCTGTCTGCCTGCCTGATCGCCTCTAACCACTCTGCCTGCTGGCCTGATTGCCCCCAACTGCTCCCCCTTCCAGCCTGATCACCACTAACTGTCCCTCCTGCCAGCCTGACTGCCCCCAACTGGCCCCCTGCAGGCCTGATCAACCCTAACTTGCCCCCCTGCTGGCCTGATCAACCCTAACTTCCTCTGCCTCAGCTCCCTCTGTGGGAGGTGACCTGGCGGATCAGGGGAAGGGACTGCCCCCATTACCCTGCTGCTGCTACCGCTGCCAACCTGAGCCTTGGCCCTTGCAGCCACTGCGACTTTGTCTGGAAGGACGTCCAAAAGATGTCTGTTCTAATTAGTATATTTCCCTCTTATTAGTATAGATTTGGGGGCCATTACAACCACGCAGAACTTAAAGAAAGAAAACACATGGCCCTGGCTGGTTTGGCTTAATGGAGAGAGCATTGGCCTGTGGACTGAAGGATCCCAGGTTTGATTCTGATCAGGGGCACATGCCTGGGTTGCAGGCTCGATCCACAATAGGGGGCATGCATGAGGCAGCCTAATGATGATTCTCTCTCATCATTGATGTTTCCCTCCCATTCCCTTACTCTCTTTCTGAAATCAATAAAACCATATTAAAAATGGGAGGGAGAATCCTCCTGAGAGCAATGATTAAAAAATTCCTCTTGACCCAAACTTCAAAAATAAGTCTCTAGCTACAGAATAGGAAATACTTTGCACTTTGAACATAGCTGATGGAAAGCAACTTTTTAAAAATATTTTTTATTGATTTCAGAGAAGGAGGCAAAGGGAGAGATAGAAATATCTATGAAGAGAGAGAATCATTGATCAGTTGCCTTCTGCATGTACCCAAGGGGAATGAACCGTGACCATCTGGTTCATAAGTTGACAATCAGCCACTGAGCCACACTGGCAGAACTGGGAAGTGACTATTAAACAGAAAACATTTGATTAGGCCAGGCTGGATAGCTCAGTTAGTTGGAGCACCATTCCGAACACAAAAATGTGAGTTTAATTCCAAATTAGGACACCTACCCAGGTTTCCTATTTGACCCCCAGTTGGGGTGCCTGTGGATGTTTCCCTGGCACATCCATGTGCCCCTCTCCCTCCCTCCCTTTATCTCTCTATTCCCACTATTCCAATTTGTTGAGAGTATTTATCAAAAATGAGTATTAGATTTTGTCAAATGCTTTTTCTGTGTCTATTAATATGATCATGTGACTTTTGTCTCAATTTGTTTATATAATGTATCACATTTATTTGTGAAAATTGTACCAGAATTGCATGAAGATGGCAAAAGTAGACGTATGTTTTTGCCAAAACAATACAACATCACTCATGCAGCCCATGGACATGGGGCTAATCCTGGCAACTAACTGAATATATAACAAAAAGTTTTTAGAGGAAGTAATGGTTGTATTGCAGGATGAAGATATTGATGAAGATACAAGAGGACCATGTACTGTACAAAACTTAAAGAGTTACGGATTAAAATCAGCAATTTTTAAATTTTGCTGGAGCATGAAAAGAAGTCCAAACATTGGAAAAAGGTTAGAAGAATTTGTTTGAGGACGAAGGCAGACTTGCATTTAGAGGGGTTGTAGGTTACTGATTACTGTAGGACAACATAATTTTGGTGGAGAAGCAGCAGTTGAGGAAGATGTTTTAGAGTGGTATGAAGATGAAGGTGACTCTGGGTATCACACTGTGAATGAAAGTGAAATAGCAGATGAGGCGATGACCTTGGGAGATGAGGAAAAAGAAACAACATGCCCCAAATATAAAGTTATCAGTGATTACTAGTAGATCCCATCTTGACAATCTAATAACATTTATCAGATAATGAAATGCAGCTTTATTACACACATTTTTGAACTTTTAGAGAGTTAATGATAAAACACAGCAGAACTCAAAGTTCAAACAAAACCTGACAGTTTTTTCACAGCAGAATTACCTAAAGCAGTCACCTTGACATCAAACATGAATGTCACACCGCAATGTGTGTGTCTGGATATGTAATCATCCAAAGAAGATTAAATAGAAAAAAATGTTTGTTGTCTTATAGAATTTAATTTTTTAAGAACATTATTTGTTTAGTTAAATGTAATTAAAGTGTACTTTCAGAAAAATGTTTATTTTGATTTAGATTGCATACTTGTTTACTACAGCCTCAAAACTAGTTTCTACATAAGCACTCATATATGTAGAAAACTTTTCTGTGAAATTAAACTTTTCATACATAATTAATTTTAATCATAAAATGTGTCTATATAAGCAGGTAAACAAATGTGTCAATTTTTAAACATACACATTCAGAAAACCTATTTTATTAAATGTAATTGACTTTCTACTTTAAGGGATTTACTGTATTTTGAAGATAACCTGACAAGATTTGCTGACAGATTAGATGTGAGGTTTAAGATAAAGAGAAAGACAAGAATCAAGAATGACACCAAGTTTTTGGCAGAGCAATTGAAGAGCTGTCATTAACTCAAACAGAAAAGACCACTTGAAGAGCAGGTGTGGGAAAGATGATCAGTAGTTCAATTTTGGACATCTTATGTCTGTGACACCCAATAACTATTTAAAAAAGATATCAAGTAGTCAGTTTCATATAGAGGTCTGGAATTAAGGAGAGAGATCTGTGCTGGAGATAAAATTTGAAGATCATTATTATACTGGTATATAAAGTATTAAAGTCATGAGAAAAAAGATAAAGGACTGAATCCCAGGACAGCTGAATGTGTCAAAGTGGGGAGATGAGGAGAAACAAAACATACTGAGGACAGGCGAGGCAGGCAAGGAGAACAACCAGGAAAGTGTTTTTTGCCCTGAAAATTCAAAGTCCTGAAAGCCAAAAAATGAAAAAAGTGAGAATTTTCCATCAGGTCAAATACTGCTAACAGGGTATATAAAACAAGGTTTAAAAATTATGTTTATATTTATTAAAGGGAAAACAAGTACTAACCTTGAGGAAACCAATTCTGGAGGAGAGATGGGACTGAAAATTACGAGAGTGGCATCAAGAGTGCATGGAAGGGAAATTAAAATCATGGCTAACAGATCATTCTTTTAAGGACTCTGTAGCTAACTGGCATGACCATGGAGGAGCTCATCTGCTTCATGTTTAGCTGTAGCTTTCAATCCTTCCATAATGACTATGAAGTATTTCTGTAATACTTAAATGTTTTTTAATTACATATCTGTGGCACTATATGGTTTTAAACATGCCAGATTTGGTATTAAAAGTAAATTCACACTACTTTACAACTAAAAAATCCCATACAATTTTTCTAGCTATACATTATAATATTATATAACTTGATTATCTTGTTTCTCTTGCTTACAAAGACAACAGGAGGATTTCTTGATAGATGAAAATCACCCAAGTCTGGAATATTTTACTCTACTCAAATATACAAAGTACACTGTAATTAGTCATATTAAATTTATGTAACACAAATAAAGGGGGAAACATGCAGGTAATATTCTTACTTTACTGATATAAACTGAATTTTTGGAAGTTGTGTAATATGAAAACCCTGCTGAAAAACTGTGTGAGGTGCATACTGAAATGAATTCTCCTTTAAAAGGAAGGATAAAGGCATGCATGCAGGGTACTTTTCAAAAAGAATCACTATTTTAGGAGAACCTAATTTATAAACCTGGTTTATAATGCCAGGGTGAGCAATGAATGCCTGCAGGCCAAATAAAGCCCAGAGCCTGTTTTTGTAAATAAAGTTTTATTGGAACACAGCTACACCCGTAACTTTACCTAGTGTCTATGACAGATTTCAAAGACCTGATGGTTCACAAAGCCTACAATACTGACTATCTGACTTTTTATAGAAAAGGTTTGTCAGCCCCTGATATAGCAGATTAATCAATCTCTTGATGGGTTTTAGTAGGTTTTACTCAATATACTGAAATTTGTGCATAAGATAGTAAACAAATTGCCTTGTGAAATCCTTCAGCTTTCAGATTAAATTGAGGGTCCAATATTTGAGCATTCAGATATTAGAAACAAAGCACAAAAAGCAAAAAAGTAGCAATTTGGATGGAAACAAAATAAAGTGGCAGTGTAGCACTATCTTCCATTTATAATTGAGCAGATATTAAAAGTATTCTCACAGAATTTGCTGAAGACATGACATTAAACCCTATGTTTTAAATACATGTCAATTGTGAAATAATCAGTATACTATAGATCAGACCTACCCTCCTTTTTCCAGTAGTGGATACTACATTATTTTATGGGTTTAACAAAGTATTTCCTTATAGATAGGTGTTTACACTACCTCCAACTTTTTGGTATGCAATGTTGTAATTAATATACTTAATGTACATATGTACACATGTAATATTACATAAATATTCCTAATGCATATATGTATAATATATATCCTTAACATCTATATCATATTGTTTACATATGCATAATACATATAATGATCTACTGTATGTTTTATATGTATAATCACATATAATAAATGTCCTCAGACTGTGCATGTGATTGTTTATACAAGTCATGTTTTCATGTAGAACCTAGTTCTGGAAGCTACTGTGATAAAGGAATGACATACTTGACAATTTGAAACAAGCTCAATTACCCAATTTCATCTACCAATAATGCAAGAGAATGACTTTTGCTCCCATGGA